AAATATCGAAGATAACCCAAATCCTTCATTTTAAATTGTCTAGCCAACTTTGTCTTCAAAACTGAAATACCATCAATGTCATCACCAGTAATAGTCATGTCATCAATATATAAAGACAGAATGATACGACTTGCATAAGTGCACTTAATAAAAAGAGCAGAATCATAACTGCTAGGAACAAAGCCAAGAGATGAGATCACAATAGAGAATTTCTCAAACCAAGCACGGGGTGCTTATTTGAGACCATATAATATTTTCTTAAGCTTACAAGCATATCTAGAGTCATGTGAAATACCAAGAGGGGGTGCCATGTAAACTTCTTCTTGAAGATCTCCATTTAAGAAGGCATTTTTAACATCAAGCTGAGAAATATATCACTAACGAATCGAAGCTACGACAATAAAAGTATAAATAGTAGTCATTTTTACAATCGAGGTAAATGTCTCCTCATAATCCATATCATACTATTAAGAATATCCTTTTACAACCACCTAACTTTATATCACTCAATAGACCCATCAAAATTAGTTTTAATCTTATACACCCAACAACAACCAACAACACTCTTACTAGGAGGTAGATGAACCAAATCCTAAGTATTTGTCTTATGCAAAACAAAAGGTTCCTCATCCATAGCTTGCTGCCAAAGTGGATCAAGAATTGCCCCTTTATAGGAAGAGGGCTCAAAGAGATAATAAATAGAAGCTAAAAAGAAAGTAAATGATGAAGAATAACAAGAATAAGCAAAATTTGGTAGTTTTGTGGACTTACGAATGCGGATAGACTAACGTGGAGGTGGATCCATAATCTTAGATAAAGTTTGAAGGGATGTAGATGAGAATGGAGCTTCAGGTGTGCCAGAGAGTAAAGTACTAGTACCTGTAGAGTTATGAGTACAAATTGATCGAACATAAAGAGAGGTATCATTACCAGAATCCTTAAAAAAAAAGGATATATTTGAATAATATCTGATTTAGTCATGCTATGAGTAATGGATGGAATATAAAAGAAAGGTATTTGCTCAAAAAAGACAACATGACGAGACATATAAAGTTTCCGAGTTATTGGATCAAAACAACGATACCCTTTTTTACCTTCACCATAACCTAAAAAGACACAAACAGCGGATTGAGAGGATAACTTACTTCGTTCTACATGAGGACGAAGAATAAAACAAGTACAACCAAAGACTCTAAATGAGGAATAATCAGGGATATACTCATATAACTTTTCAAAAGAAGATAACCCTGAACTATGAGAAGATGGAATTGTATTAATCAAACTTACTATAGTAAGAACAACTTCTCCAAAAAAGTACAACCAAAAACTCTAAATGAGGAATAATCAGGGACATACCCATATAAATTTTTAAAAGGAGATAGCCCCGAATTATGAGAAGATGGAATTGTATTAATCAAACTTACTACAGTAAGAACAGCTTCTCCCCAAAACTCACTAGGAATAAAAGCAGACAACAAAAGAGAACAAGCAGTTTCGACAATATGCCTATGTTTTCTTTCAGCAACACTATTTTGCTTAGGAATATCTGTACATGAAGTTTGGTGGATGGTTCCATTTAAGGCAAGCAATTGGCAAAATTTATTAGAGGTGTATTCCCCACCTAAATCACACCTAAAACATTTAATCATGACAGAATGTTGAGTTTTGATAAGAGCTCGAAAAGCTATATATATCTTAAAGAATTCAGAATGATGTTTCATTAAATAAACCCAACAATAACAAGTATAATCATCAATAAAAGAAACATAATATCGATACCCTCCTTTTGTGGTAATAGAAGAAGGTCCTCGTACATCAGAATAAATCAAATCAAATGGTGAAGAAGAAACAGAAATACTTCGATTAAAAGGTAAAG